CCAACTCCTCGGTGACAGAGTACTGCAAGACTCGATCCTGCACCAGTTATTCTTGCAACGGTTACCGGCTAGCGTACAGATGGTAATCACCTCGGCAGGAGACTCCATGACGATGGAACAACTCGCCGAGCTGGCTGACAAAGTCATGGCTGTGTCCATCCCATCTCACGGGGTAAACTCCGTGACACCGGTGGCTACCCTGACAGCAAACCTGCAGAGCGAGGTAGAGCTTCTTTGCGGCGAGATAAATCGTCTAACCGCTCAAGTCCAGAAACTCTCGACCAACCCTCAATGCTCCCGTTCTCACTCTTGCAGTCGTCGACCCCGTGCCAGTACTCCAACTCCTCCGGATGACGCCAACGTGTGCTGGTATCATGCCAAATTTGGTGACGGGGCCCACAAGTGCACCCAGCCCTGTTCCTTCAATGCCAGCAACCAGGGAAACGGCCAGGCCGGCAAGTAAAGGTGGCATACTCTGCCGGCCACTCCACACCCTCTCGCATGTTTTATGTCACTGACCACCACTCAGCACGCCAATTCCTCATAGATACAGGAGCTGAGGTGAGCGTCATCCCTCCTACCCCGCACGAGCGCACCCACCGTCGACATGGGCAAGATCTCCAAGCAGCAAATTCATCGACAATTGCTACTTACGGTGAGAGATCTTTGACACTTGACATTGGCATCCGGCGGCCATGTCGCTGGGTTTTCGTAGTTGCAGAAATTCAGCATGCCATATTAGGCGCAGATTTAGCCGCCTCAATGAGTATGGAGTGGTAATCAATCCGGCCAAATTTTGCCTTGGTACGGAATCGCTTAAGTTCCTAGGACATCGAGTTGATGCTCGAGGGGTGCAACCACTTGAAACAAAGGTCAGTGCCATCCACGATTTTCCGCAGCCAACTACTCTGACCAAACTGCGCGAATTTCTCGGACTAGTTAACTTCTACCGCCGCTTCATTCCTCATTATTTGCAAGTCCTCCAGCCACTCGCCGATCTGCTCACTAATGCAGGAAAGAAATCGGCACCGTTGCCTTGGAGTGACACTGCTACGGCTGCATTTCAAGCAATCAAAACTGCCCTCACTAATGCCACTCTCCTCGCTCATCTAAAGCCAGATGCGCCTCTGTGCGTCATGTCAGATGCTTTGGATGTCGCTGTTGGAGCTGTTCTCCAACAACGAGTGGACAACGCATGGCAACCACTCACATTTTTCTCCAAGAGACTTCAACCCGCCGAGACACGTTATAGCATATTCGGTCGCGAACTGTTAGCCATTTACCTCGCCATCAAACATTTTCGGCACTCGCTTGAGGGTCGACATATTCACGCGCTTACAGACCACAAGCCGCTCACATATGCTCTCAGCACCTCATCTGACCGACAACCCCCTCGCGAAAGTCGCCACCTCGACTTCATATCACAATTTACCTGTGATATCAGACATGTGAAAGGTGGAGATAACCTCGCAGCCGATGCACTATCGCGTGTTGAACTTAACACTCTTCGCTTGGAACAATCTTCTGTCATCGATTTCCGCAAAATGGCGGAGTTGCAGACAAACTGTGCGGAACTGGCACAACTTCAAACATCATCGTCATCCTCCCTCAAATTCCATGCAGTTCCTCTCCATTCTTGCAACACAACATTAATTTGTGACATTTCGACTGGACATCCACATCCATTCGTGCCAGTAGAGTTGCGTCGCACAGTATTTGTCGACTAAGACTAAGTCACTGCTGTCTCCAACTCCCGAGTCTGTCGTCGTGGTCCGACCAGGGATTCATTTCCCACCAGTTGAAGTCAACACTCCAACAACCCCAGGGGCTACGCAAGTAGCTACCATTGCAAGTGGCGTCGTAGACAGGATTACGATGCCGAGACGGACGAGGAGCCAGCCTGTGTAGCAGTACAAGATTGCAAGACACCCCAAGCCTGGAGCCCAGTGAAGACATGTCTTACTAGTAATTAATATTTGTTTTTTCGCTTGCTTGTGGTTCTAAGCACATTGTGTGTGTGTGTGTGTATGTTATGAACTGTAGTTTGGCAGTTTCACATGTACATGTACATACATGTGTTTTACATGTAAATGCATTGTAGGGCACATGTTTGCCTTTCTTGAATACTGTTGATGTTTTGATATTTAGGCTACAACCCTCAAAGCTGTATTTCTGCGGCATATTTTTGTACATTGTTCAGTTAGCTGTGTAGCTATGGCAAAGCCTGAGGATTTAGCTGAGGCTCTCACCAAGTCACTTGCACAGTCTCAGAAAGCTTTCGCCGACATTCTGGGGCCTTTAAGAATCTAAGGTTTCAAAGGTCGACTCCTGTGAAGTTTGGCAAATTTAGTGGCCATCCGAAAAAGTCTGGGGACCAAACCCTTAAAGAGTGGCTGGAGGACTTAGACACATATTCACGCCAGCTAGATTTGTCTGCTGACGAGAAGCTCAATGTTGCCATTGACCACCTTGCTGGCAAAGCAAAAGAAGAGATCAGATGCTGTCCCCAAGAGGATAAGGACAGCATTGACAAGTTGCTATCAATCCTAAGGTTGAGGTTTGGTGCAAAAGAGACTGTTCAAAGCCTCAATTGTACATTTTACTCAAGGTGCCAGTTAGAGGGGGAAACGTTTGAGGAGTTTAGCCATTCACTTATGTCACGATACTACGATAGTTGGTTTAGCGCCCTCTATTGCCCACGAGTTTAAAGGGTCTTGTCTAATGGCCGCTGTATTAAAAGGCCCTACCCGGTTTTGCAACATAACAATCTGCCTCCATCGACTGCCTTAATTGAACTGCCACCAAGTAAATTACATGGTGTCGGAAGTTAAGTCCTGTCCGCCCCTCTACATGTCGCAAAAACGCCATATTTTGGAACTTTGATGCCGTTTCGAGCGCATTTCGCCGACGTGTGGATCCTCGCTTGGACACTGGAATTGACTCTACGTACATCGCGTGTGTACACGTACCACACCCGCGTGAATGACTGTATGTACTGTCAGACTGTAATGTGAGGAATGGTCGCAGATAATTTATTCTATAGATCTGAGGCTAGCACATAATATTTTGAGCGGTGTAATTGCTCCTATAGTGAATGTCATTGCTGTGATTTTATACAGTTTTTACAGAGTTTTAGAGTTAGACTTGCCACTAGTCCTCTCGTTGATAGCAGTAATTTGAAAGATTTTGGCCCGCTCTTACGGTTTGTGTAGTTGTTGCCATGACTACTCCGGTGTTAACTCCCACACACATACCACTTCCACCTCCATTGCAGGTGACTGGCGATTTAAAAGCCAACTGGAAGAAATTTAGACAGCTGTGGGACAGCTATGAAATTGTCACAAGCATTGTGGACAAACCAGACAAATTTAGAGTAGCCACGTTCATAACAGCCGTAGGCAAGGATGCACTGGACATCCACAATAATCTTCCGTACAAATCGGAGGAGGAAAAACAAAACATGGCTACTATCTTGAAGCTCTGGGAAGAGCACTGCAAAGGCAAGACCAATATCATTTATGAACAATACAAGTTCAACAACTGTGCTCAACAGGCTGATGAGCGTTTTGACCATTATCTGGTCAGATTGAGGGAGTTGGCATCAACATGTGATTATGGCAATCTCACTGATGATATTCTCAGAGATAGAATTGTATGTGGCATAACTGATAACACGTTGCGTAAACGTCTGTTGCAAGAATCGAGCCTCACTTTAGATAAATGTGTCATGTTATGTAAAGCATCAGAGGCAACTGTAACGCACATGCAAGCCATGAAACTAACTAAAGATGAGTCAGCAGAAGTTAAATTTGTGCACCAAAAGCAAAAGACCGCAAAGAAAGAATACACAAACAACTGTCAATACTGTGGTAAAACACATGAGTTAATGAAAACTCGATGCCCAGCATATGGGAAGACATGCACAACTTGCGGAAAGATGAATCATTTTGCCACAAAGTGCAGGCAAGGTGCATCAAGTCAAAAGAAGTTGCCCAAGAGAGACCCCAAATCAAAAATGAAAAGAAAAACAAGAGTGCATGCACTAGATGAAGACACAGAAGAGTCTGATTGAGATTCAGATTTTGAAGTCATGATTATCGATGTGATAGGTAAAATAGAAACCGAAGAAGGCAAGCCAAACAAAAAATATGCCAATGAAATTATGGCCACGTTCATGATTAATGGTCAGAGGATTAAGATGCAGGTTGATTGTGGTGCAACATGCAATGTGCTACCTCAGAAGTACTTACCTGTAGGTACAACGATAGATAAGTCAAACAAAATTCTGTCACTTTATAATAATGAAGCGACCATTCCTGTTGTTGGCACTGCCATGGTACTGTTAGTGAACCCTAAAACCATGCAAGAGAACAGTGTGCCCTTTGTGATAATTGAGGGCCAGAGTACACCACTCATTGGATCGCGCTCCGCACAACAGCTGAATTTGATATGCGTACAGCATCACAATATCGCCGTGATAAATGAGCCACGCAACATTCAAGCTTCACTCACAGACAAGCCAATGAACTCAAGAACGGACGTCATCAACGCCTATCCGGATGTGTACCAAGGACTTGGTCACATGCCCGGAACTGTGCATGTTGAACTTGACAAATCTGCTACGCCGACAGTAATGCCGCCAAGGCGCGTACCAGTCGCACTCAAAGATAAACTCAAGACAGAACTTGATCGATGGGAGGAGCGACAGATCATCACAAAGGTTGTAGAACCTACTGAATGGGTATCATGTTTGGTTACTGTCGATAAACCAAACGGGAAGATACGAGTCTGTATCGACCCCAAGCCCCTCAACAGTGCTCTCAAACGGGGGCATTACCCACTGCCAGTGATCGACGACATCTAGTCTTACCACAAATGTCAGGTGTCAGGGTCTTCACCAAAGCAGACTGTAAGGAGGGTTTCTTACACTGCGAACTCGACACAGAATCCTCCCACCTAACAACCTTCCAGACTCCATGGGGGCGATATCGCTACAACCGCATGCCCTTTGGCATCAGTCCAGCCCCTGAGATCTTTCAGCAGAAACTGGACCACAGTTTTGGAGGGTCTAGTGGGTGTCTACAATTGAACTGCCACCGAGTAAATTACAGGTGGTCCAACTCTGAAATTTTCATGGACTACTACTCATCACATTTCTTAAAGTATGTCACAGACGGCAGAGAGGATGAGCCCATCCTTGTCCTTTATGATGGACATTCTTCCCACATCTTCCTGCCATTGATTGACTGGGCAAGAGAACACAATATCTTGTTGTTTGTCTTACCAGCACATACGAGCCACGTCCTGCAGCCAATGGATGTTGGATGCTTCGGGCCATTTGAGAAAATCTACAATTCAATTTGCCACCAACACATGCGTGCCCACAACAGGCATTGACAGATTCATGTACGTACTCCATCTGTGAACTTGCTTGCAGAGCATACTCCAAGGCCCTATCCCCTGACAACTTACGAAGCTCGTTCAAGAAAACTGGCATCTATCCTTGCAACTTTGAAATAATCAATGTCAGAAAATACGAACCAGCCAAGGCGCTAAATTGGATAGCGAGTGAGCCGACAGATTTGTCTGAACCCCAACCAGTTGGTCCACAAGGTGACGGCAGTGGCAGCCTCCCTCACTCAGACTCCTCTGATCTCTTCAAAAAATGAGAACAGATCATAGGCCAGCGAGAGAAAGTACCAGGAAAGAGGAGATGTGTCTCTTCAGTGACATCAGGAAAGGCCATAACTGAAGTAGCAGTAAGGAAGATTGTGCAGTTTGTTGAAACGTCACAGAAGAAGACATCAACCAGAAAGAAGAAATATAACTTCTTTTCATGTTCAAGAGGATTGTTTCCATTTTGCCAAAACTGAATTATTCATTACGATGATAAAACTAATTCCTTGTTTATCAAGAGGATGGTTTTGATGATTTAGAAAAGGAGGGGAGAAGGAGAGGGTAGCAGGAACCATGAAGACCCAAGAGGAAGGAGGTGATAAAAAGGCACTCCAGCTTCCTCATCCCAAAAGTGGAGCAGGTGGGCCTAGGCCAAGGGGTATTATTGGATCATAATAACAATGCTGAAAATGCATATGACCATTTTTGAGGAAAGAGTGAGAGGCAGGGTCGGGAAAAACGAAAGATGAAAAACCAATAAAAAGACAGAAGTATTTTACAGTGCCACACAACATTCAAGTAATTTCAGACATTTATTTTGCGTATGGCTTCACTGGGACACCTTACTCAATGCGACCGTCGAAAATAGGTCACGGTGTTTGCTGTGCGATGCGCCACGGACGGCAACTAAACCAGGTAATTTCGCAAAAGCGACAGGAGTGATCAACGTCCTCCAAGTTTATTTTACAAGTCTGTGATGTAAAAAAAGTGATTGAGACCTCTTTTGGTGCGATACTTTCGTTCATGTTGGACAGTTTGAAGAAAAGGCCTTACATCGTCGAAAACCAATCACGCTGGGATACGGACAATGACATATTTTAGTTATTTGCACCCATATCAAGCTCCTACGATGAGTACGTGTTCATTGTGAAAGCACCAATGCATTCCAAGCAACCTGCTGCTACAGTTTACATCAACAAGGCACCAGTCAAAGCCATCATCAACACAACAGATTGGCAAGAACCTGATGATCCAGACCAAATCCACTGGGGAATTTGGAACAAGTCACCTTTGTTTTATGGCCTAACTTTGAGGTGGAGTTGCCCTTCCAACTCATCCCACAAATTCTGCAGTGAATTCAGGTCAGGGCTCTGGGCCAGCCAGTCCATCAACTGGAATTCCCAATTACCCCCATCTCTGGGATGAAAATCTGGGGTTGGATCGGCCAGGTATTCCTTTGGAATCCTAGTGGTTTGCTGAAACAGGACCAATCAAACGATGGGCAGAAGGCTGCGCTGATATTCTCATTGACCAGCACAAGGTCACAGACACCTGCAGAGGTAAAACAGCACCACACCATGATCCCAGAACCGCCATGCTTAACTAAGGGTACCACACAGTCAATGCCCATATCATAAACCCAGCCATCAGACTGGTATAGCTATAACTGGACCCTCGATATCCATCAATTTCCATTCCAACCCAGTGGCGCAGCCGGGGGGTGCCCCCCCCCCACCAATACGGGTGATTCACAATTCAGTGCGCCACCAAGAGGGCAAAAGGGAAAGGCCAAATTCTCACGTTTTGGTCGACAACTTTTCAAGATGGCAACTGTTGTTGCCAGCAGCAGCGTTCGTGTTGTTGACTTTAAGGCACCAAAGAATTACAAAAGTGTCTGATTGAAAGAAGAATTCCGTGCGCTGGACTAAGGAGAGGGGACCTGGTAAAGTTGGCAGAGAAAGCTGGAGACAAACGTGCGGTCCTTGAAGAGTGTGACCATGACAAATCAGAGCGAAAACGAAGAGTTGTAGGCGGGAACGGGGAGATCACAGACTTGAACGGTCTTCAAGTTTCGTATTCAGCTGACCTCTGTAACATTCCCCATGTCAGCTTGGGTGATGTTTTTCCCTACCTGGTGAAACAGTGTGAGCGGAATCCTGAGCGGCTCACCAGCTACTGGCAGGATGATGGCTTCCTGATGTTCTTGCACATTTTTATTTGTAAATTGTAGCCTGTTTAGGGGCCAATGGTAATTTTAAGCTCAAGAAGCAGAGGCTGTTTTTTTGCCACTAAAGCAGGCTTACTCAAGCCTATTCTTATGATACCAATGGATACAAAACCCATGTCCTAGGCTGTCTGGCCATATTAGCACATAAACTCTTTTAACTGCATTTAAGAATTGAAGTTGTAAGCTTGGCTTGTCTAGACAGTTTTTATTATCACTGTTTTACCTGAAATTTCACAAGATATGAAAACTTTTTCACCTTTTTAAACCCCCAAGAAACCCATTGGTACTTGTTTTGAGCATTGTACATTTCCAACTCTAATCTTCCCGAATGTTTGCATTGTATTGGATAAGGATTGGAATTTTCAGGAAGGTGTTTACAAACATTGAAGTGTGAGACAGGGAATTCCACAAGCAGTGTATTTAACTTAAAGTTGCTTTGCAGCATTTGCTGAACTTTAATGGCTCAAGTATGTTGACCATATATTTGCAAATGAACCTCTCCGCAGAAAAGAAAACTCTTGACAATGCAGTTTATTATTGCCTGTGATTCTGAACACAAAAAATTGTTACCTTCAAGCGCTCTGTGTTTATTTCTTGCAGTGATGATGGTACCTGCAAGCATGCAATTGCTGTACTTTTTGCATTGTGGGACTACATCGAAAGAAACACTGACAAGGGGACAGCTGTTGGCACAGATGAGCCTTGCTCATGGACGAAACCTCAAAGAGCCCCAGGCCAGTGAGAGTAGAGGACTCAAGTGAGCTGGACTTCCATGCAGAAAAACAGACTCTCAGAAAACCTGGCCCACTTCCTGAGAATTACAAGCCACTGGGTAATGTATCCAGAGCATGGATTGAGAACGTTCAGGGGCACTTGAAAAAGGTGAGTCACGGTTGACGCAGATCATTATTTAACTCCGCAGGACCTCCCAAATCCCCTGATTTCTATATGATTTTGCATACATGTACGCCCTAGGGGGTTTCACCTCAGAGACATACCTGCTACATTGCTTGGTAAGAAGTTGTTTATGATGGAAACATTTCATACAAGTTGTTATGAGTTCCAGAAGTGATTTATTGTAGGGGTGATACATGGTTACAAAGGTGATGCCAGTGATAAGTAGAGATACATGTACATGTACTACAATGTACATGTACATATAGTACATGTACATATAGTACATGTACATTTTTGCATGTACAGGAACTGTTTATTTGCACACCTCTTGTCTGCCCATGCAGTAGGTGTGTGCATTGAAGCTACTCATGAAATTCGAAAAGGAAAATACTTGTTTGATCCATGTCTCAAAAATAGAAAAACTTTTAAAATTTATGGAATTTTTCAACTTTCATTATTTTCAGGTTTGTGCAGAAACCAGCCCAGATGCATTTTACCTGAAAGTGAATGTTGAGCCACCATTTATGCCATTTATGGGTGCCTCACCAGATGGTGTTGCAAGCTGTTCCTGCCATGGAAAGAAGCTTGTTGAGATCAAGTGTTCATATAAGCATAGAGGCATTCCTGTGAAAGATATTCCAACACAGGACCCATCCTACCACTTGGAGACTGTACATGGACAGCTGCAGCTGAAAAAGTCTTCTGGTTGGTACAGCCAAATACAATATCAGTTAGGTGTGACCCGCATGAACCAGTGTGACTTAGTGGTATATACTCTTAAAGGAATAACATCCATCCCTGTAATGTTTGTGGGAACTCTTGAAAAAGAGAGAAGAGCTTGTGTTCACTCATGTTTTTACATGCAGTGAAGAATAAAGTATATACATGTATGTTACAAGCAGAATTCCAGGCTTGGCATCAGCATTTCAGGCCAGTAATTGCATGGTTTTGTTTTCTTCATTTTATTTTGAGTCCATCATGACTGAAACTCTTTATGAAAGGACCCGAGTACATGCTTATTTGTATGATAAAACTAAAAGGTTTGTGGCTTGACTGGAAAACAGAGAGCAGAAGTGCATAAATATTTCTTGAACATCAATGTGTATTCTTAACTTACTATAGTATAAATCAATATGTAAACAAAGAAATGACCTGTGTGAGAAGCCATTGTTTTATTATTTCATATTTTTCATGAATTTCTGTGGGAAACATGAATAAATCTGTACAACCCTATACTTGGGTTTAAACCTTGGAATTCTTGTGCCTGCTGAATTTACTAAAATCAGGAAAGTTGTTTTAATAATGGTCCAACTTCATTCACTCAATTTGGAAATAAAGCAATCCTTTCCAAATAAGAAGTCCTTGAATAATCCTTTGAACAACCTAATTCAAATAATTAACCTTGTTGAGTAGTGCCCAATGAATTAACAGATATGACCCAAAAAATCTGAATAAATCCAAACAATTATACCTAAGACTCATTATTACTTATGCAAAGTCTCATTTTCTCCTCTTTCCAAACAAACTCCATATTCAAATATGTAAAAAATAGGATCACTTCATAGGTTCTTTCATGATATCATTTTTTACTGAGCAGATACACATCATAATATGGTAATGCATTTCCTTCCTAGAATATTCATTTTTAATCTATTATGTTCATGACATGGTGATGGTCACATTACTGACTGCCTTTGGTCAAACTCAGCTTGACATTCATTTCATTGAACAGGCTGCAAAATATATATCAGTAGGTCAAACGCTTCACTGGCTTCTTCAGACTCACTTTATTTTTTATTTGGTATTTCTCATTTTTAGAATGG